ATACACAAACACAAGCAAAGAAGCAGAGATGTCAGTACTAGATCTATATATTATAGATCTACCAATGAGTCTAACTCTTTGGTAGAACATGACAATTATCAGTTTTTAAATTTCACATTTGGCTGTTTTTGTCTAGCCCTTCGCGGCCAGGAGCCGGTGTCATAATCGAGGTCACGATCTGATTATAGGACGGTAAAAAGTAGAAGAAAAAAAACCCCAAGCACTTGCAGCAGTCAAGAGATTACTAGGAGTTAGTTCCCCTCACATCTGTGAGGTAGACTCGACCAGTGTTAGTTAGCTTACATAATGAGGGCTTCTGATTGCTTATAACTGTGGCCCCAAAGGGGTGAACAGGGTATACGATGCAATGAAACAGTTTTGACTGCTATGCACATGTTCCCTTCAACTCTATTGGTAGACTCTTCCAGCCTCACTTTAAGCTTACATAATCAAAGCTTGCGACTGCTTATGGAGTGGCCCGAGAGGGGTGAGCAGGCTATTTCTGTGACCTTGAAACCGTTTTTAATGTTAGGCATATTTTTAATTGTTGATTATGAACGTCTTTTTACATTTAATTTATGAGGTTTACGTTTATGGGTGTATTTGACAGCGACAATATTTCAAAATTAGGAAGGGAAGCAGTGATTATTTGATTATATAGACGCTTCGCCACTGCACAAACCTTTTAGCACATGGCTGTGTTAGGTAGATTTTGGACTACTCATCTGTCAGTGTGAGGAGCAGAGGCCATGAAACTGACATGTTATTTTGGTGGTCTGTGATGGAATGGAAAAAAACAGTCCACATTTGAATCATCGGATGGCTTGCTTTAGTTGACTACATCGCGCAAGTGTTGGAGTGTCATGTCTTACCCTTATTTCCCTCATGCTGTCATTCAAGTAAACATCTCCGTTCATGGCAAATCACTTTCTCATTGGGCCAATATTATTACGAGACAATTCTTGGAGAACTAATTCATATCAACGTTGAAGTGGTCACCAGTAAATAGCCCGATATAAATCCTACAGGTATGTGAAGTACCATGAATCAGCAGCTGAAGAAAATCGACGTTGCTCCCAATTCGGACCCTTTGTTTGCAATCGTCTATGACCTTTGGGATGAAATGACGGATAATTGTCCAAATTTAGTAGAGCCGATATCCAAAGGATTCGTGTCCTACACAAAACCAATGGCTACTACGCAAAATAACAATGAGCATATTTAATGTTAAGTCCAAGTTTTGCGAGGTATTTGTGACTGCTCTGTTTTCTGTTTTGTTCAAAACTATGGAAATTAAATATTGTTTATGGCGGAGAAAAAAAGATTCTCCATTCATTGGATATGAAATGTGTGTCCATTTTATCAATATTGATGCTCCTCAAGAGTCAATACACGCGCGAAGACAATTTAACTTTCAGTGATTTCGTACGATTTTGCCAAGCCTGATTTTTTAAGGTCAATTTTGAGTTACTATATCTCGTGCGTTTCTTAACATAGATAAAATATAATTGTGTCAGATGATGCAGAATTTATTTAACTTTAAATTGGTATATTGCATGAGTGTTTAGTGCAAGGCTTTAACCAGATTATTGGGTGGTTATATTTTCAAGTTACCTTTGGACGCCACTGTATAATACATGTGCGAGTGCTGTTGCACCCAGTTGTCGGTCAAAGGCATATACAAATAGGTTGCCGCGAAATGGGTTAATAATATGTAAAGCCTTAAGTTACTCTCAGCGATAAATCTTATCAGATTCTTCGTTTAGTAGAATTGTCTGATTTACCACACTCCATATTCTGTTTTTACATTTCAATCTATAGTGTCCAATATTCTCTTTAAATTGGGGAGATCCCTTCTTCTTGCGCCAGATGACTCTTGCATGCATTCTGTGTGTTATTACTTAACAAACGTAAAAAATAGGCCCATTTGGACAAAAGATTGGCTTTTGAAACGCAGTTTTCTCACTCATAATGTTATGAAACAATTTTTCTGTTTGTTTTTAAACACGAAATTATTAGTGGCAAAATTCTAATGACACAAGCTCTCCCTATGCCCTCTCTTAATAATTTGTGACTGTAGTCTCTGGACTTAATCGTCCACAGACATTCGTGGGATCTTTAGGCCTCTACATCTCAATAAATGGTCTTTCGACCAAGTCACCATTCTGTACACTGTGCCACAGAGTCTACATAACAAGAGGGGCCACTCCTCTCTTTGAGCCAATTAAAAAAGTGTCCTCAAAATTCGATGGCGCCTTCTTCGCAAATGCGCACCTTCTGCGAACAGAGTTACCCTACTTGTGTTTTAAAACATCAAAGTGAAACTAGCAGGTTTTTTAAATACATTTAGGAAGAACGCTTTTTTAAAATGGTTACGCTGACAAAAAACCTGTTCCGGAGGAAAGGGTGATTGTTTTCTTCCTTTAATTTGACTTTAGAATGAAAGGCGAGAGGTCATTAGGCCTAAAATAAAAATAAAAAAACCCTTAAACTCCGCACTGAACGAACCCGATCCAAAGCCCGAACTGCTGATGAACAGCAGTCACAGAATTCCACCAGTGTCTCTGATTCCACACTTAGTGTAGTCCAAGGAGTTTAGAACTAATGGAGCCTCCTCTCTCTCTTCGCGGCGCCGCGAGCAGTACGCCGCGGTGGGAATCAAATATGGCCGCCGAGTGTGGGCTAAATCTCGAACTGTGGTGTTTCTTTTTATAGAATCTTATCGGGCTGGGCCACGTTGTGGGGGTGGGCGGGGTGGGGGAATGCACGCAAGGAAGAGGGGATGGGGCAGCGATGAAAGAGGAGGGGCGGGCCTTGGGAAAGGACGAAGGAGAATGGGAAAAATTAAATAAGAGAGAGAGAGAGAGAGAGAGAGAGAGAGAGAGAGAGAGAGAGAGAGAGAGAGAGAGAGAGAGAGAGAGAGAGAGAGAGAGAGAGTGAGAGAGAGAGAGAGAGAGAGAGAGAGAGAGAGAGAGAGAGAGAGAGAGAGAGGGAGAGAGATTGTGATCAACTGACGGGCTGACGGATAATGACAGGGACAACAAAAAATTATGTGTGTGATACGGACTGTTCAAGGTTCTTTCAGAGTTTAAAAATAAAAAAGAGATGTGTAAAATAAGAAGTAAACTTGTCCAAGTAACATAAAATTATCAAACATACCAAATAATAAAGATAATCTTTCAAGATGCTAAAATATTTAAGTATTAGAAATGGATAAAAATATACTTTAAAACTGAATTTAAGATATTATGATTGCATGATTCTAGGCGTGTGCCATAACTAACTTTATGTATAAGGAATAGCGAACACAACAGAGGGTCGATGCCAGCTTTATCTGATTGCTAACAGTATGTCTTGGTCTATAAATAATAATATTATTGATTACAATAATTTTGTTTCCTGGTTTTCACAAATTACGCGGAGCGCACAATGATTTCAAATATTTTTTAAAAAAAGAGATAAGAGCACCTTTGGAGGTGTGATCGCATGCATGAGCGTGGATGACCTTTGAAGGTTTTTTTTTGTTTGTTTGTTCAGTAAAGTATGATATGAAGAGCAGCGTTTTTAGTCCCTTATTACACTCGGGGGGGGGGGGGGGGGTTAATTTATCTTAAAGATGACTCTTGTGTATTAACATTTGTTGTTGCTTTGTTTGGTTTATTTTTTAACAGCAGAATCTTAACTGAACCGGAATTATTGATTGTGGGATTTTAGGTAAAGACTACAACAATAGAATTAAACCGAGTATAATTCTATCTAACAAGACTCAAACTCTTATCCACCCCACCCTACCCTCTCCCCTCATCTGATATGGTTTGATGTTTCTTTAACATAGAAAATATTCATCGTTATTTTTGTTAAGTATTGATTTCCTATTCTAATGGATCCTCTAGATATCTACATTTCGACAACAGTAGCATCTAATTTGCACACACAATGGAAAGCAATATAAATGTACAATATGTATTTACATACACACACATAATATATACACATAATAATTATATATATATATATATATATATATATATATATATATATATATATATATATATATATATATATATATAAGAATAAGAATACTTTTTACAAAATTGAGTATCTCGGTCTTTCTGCTGGGGTATTGTATCCCTTTCAGCCTGGGTTGGCCTTGGCAGGTCAGTAGCGCTGGAGCCAGCCTCTTATGAATGTTAATGATCTAAATTGTGTTGCTGGGGGCATAAAAACACTTTCATTCAAATTTTTAAAAAGGAAAACAACTTAACTGTGAAAACTTCGGTCCACTGCAGCATCATATCGGTTCTTACACTTAAATACAACACAGATGCAAGGCATTTTTACTAATTGACTTGCTTAATCTCAAGGACCTCGGAATAAAACCTTCTTTCTTATCTAGATTTCAGTGCCATAATCGGGCAATCGCTCAGCGCAGGTAGACCATAGTTTCGCCGCGAGAGAGGGCTCCTATCAGGCGTGCGGTGCCGCCCACAGGGCATCCTCCATTACTTTTAATCTCCTTGGTGTAGTCACAATTCTGTGACAGCAGTCGATCTGCGCCACAGAATTCTGTGATCTGCGTACGCAAGGCGGTGCTATTCCTATTCTTCTTCTGGAAAAACGAAAGAGAGCTTCAAAACAGTCTGCAGCGCCATCTGAAGCAAAGAGCAGACTTCCGGCGGACACTTTTTTGGCTGAGTGGACCATCTTGTTATGTACTATCTTTGGCACTACTCTCGACTCTCGATTTTCGCGGAAAATGAGGGGTCAGAAGTATATTGGATTGGATTGAAATGAATGTCAACAAGGGGCTGAAGGTGATCGCAAAAACACATGTGCTGTAATTATTCTAAATGAATTTACAAGCACCTTTAAAATAATCAGTATCTTGAGAAACAAATATAAATTTTAGATTAGATTCTCTAGAGATCTATTATTGATTACATGCTAAAGAGTTCTTGGCTAGGCTACACCAGAATGGCTACACTTATGAGCGAAGAGAAATGCACAGAATTCTGTGGAGAAATGTGAAAAGAAATGGTGGATTAGATTTGAATTTAGTTTACTCATTGGCTTTGTTGGAGCCTTTGAAGTTTGGAGATGTAGAGACTGTAGTTAGAGCAGTATGATTATGATTATTCAGTATGGCCTAGCCCAGAGATTGTGGGCCTGACAGATGAGACGGGAAGTAAAACTGCTAATTAACCGTCTTCCTTCATTTGTATTTATTGTTCGAAAGGTATTGTATAGATCTAGATATCTAGATTTCTAGATCTAAATATCTAGATGTTACTGAAGGATGTTGTAAAATGTTGGAAAGAGGATTTTAAAAGGCCACCTCTATTGAGTCAGTCTATTCTCACCCGGAGCCGGAGTGAGAATAGTGCAGGCGAGTCTTGTGGCTATTCTCACCCGGTGCGCGTTCACCAAATTTTGCGTTCACCCTAAACCACAGAATTCTACACTGTGATAACAGAAAAAGTGTAGAATTCTGTGCCGTGAACAAACGTTCCATTACAACTGTAGCCTACTAAAAGCATACAATTTTGTCTACTGTGGGCAGTGGAAAGAGAGGAGTAGCGCGAGAATTTCCGGGCAAAACTAAATAGCGACCCGCGTAGTTCGGCTCGATTCGAAAAGTTAAATAGTTGTAGCATCTTTGTAGACAACCAAATTAATTTACTTTTGTTTTTTAACATCATTTTTAACTTTGTTTTGGTCAATTTGATCGTCCACACCGATAGACAGTATTCAGTCAGAGAGAGAGAGAAGAGGGGAGGAATTGATTTTGCGAGAACTTCCGGGCGGGTGAGAATAGCCACTTTCATTTTAAAAACTGTGATCTTGTAGTTCCGTTTGTTAAAGTCCACGATCCATTTATGATTTGTTTACATCCAGAGAAGGGGAGGACTTCCGTAACGAGCGACCACTATGATGAGACAGAGAAGAATTGAGGGCTTGGGGTAGGAGTAGGGCCTTTTCTTTATTGTGTTTGATGGGGTGGTCGCTCGTTACGGAAGTCCTTCCCAGAGAAGAAATCCAGGGAAGATTGAAGAATACCGGACCACACTTATTTATATACAGTATTGCGCGAGAATGTGGGGTGGGTGAGACTGGTGGTTGGGGTGGGGGTTCAGGGGGGGGGTTTCCCCCCCCCCCCCCCCCCCGACAAACTAGCAATAAATAGTAGATCTAGAGATCTACCTGTCTTAGATTCTCCATTGCGAGAGATATTAAAATCTGAGGAAAATCATGAATTCCTAAGGTTGAGACATAGAATCTAGATCTAGGCAAAGTCAGTCCGCTGGTCCGGTATTCTTCAATCTTACCGAAATCCAGAAGTCTTGATGACCAAATACTATTTGAAATAGAAGGCTACACGAAGAGCAGGGTTGCAACCTAACTGCAAAACATCAAAGATACAGGGGGGCCCCCCACCTCCATATTTTTATTAAGTCAGGGGGTGAAACCTTACTCTTGACTTTAACGAATGAAACTACAAAATCGCAGATTCTAGGAAGATTTAGAGTATCTAGATTAAATTAGATCTAAAAATAAATCTAGATTAGATCTTTAGATCTTGGAGGCTACGAAGTGTCTTGTCCATGATCTTTCTCAACAACTTTCTTCTAGATGTATAGATCTAGAAATCTAGATCTAGAGTTTAATCTCTAGAATCTGTATATAGATCTAGATAAGATAAGATAAGATAAGATACATCTTTATTGTCCAGATCCTGGCACATTGGTTTGGTGTTCCACCACGAGTACACACACACACACGCGCAAACACACACACACACACACACACGTACACACGTGCACGCACATGCACACACAAGTAGGCTTACAATCACATACATAAATAATATAAATGAGCAGCAATATAAACAATAATAATCGTAAGCTAGATACACACTCAATGTTATTTTGATGCATGCTCTAAGGTCGTAAGTACACTAAACAAGATAGATGGATAAGATGGAAGCATTTTGATAGATGATGGTAAAAATGACCTTCTCTGCATCTTTCTTTGTTACAGATCAGAAGCATGCATGGGTCTTTTACTTCTGACGGATGTTTTTATTTGAGGGAACAAGGGATGTTTGTTGTCTAAAAAGATGGAATTAATTTTCTTAGTGCAAGCTGTTTTGTACAATTCATCCAAGTAGGGAAATGAAGATGTTGAAATTTTACATGCTTTCCGTATTAGTCGATTTAATTTTTCTTTATCTTGTTGTCTTGTGTTCCCGGCCCATGCTGTTATACAAAAATTGATAATACTTTCTATGGTTGAATGGTAGAACATGGACATCAATGTTTTATCAACTTTAAAATACTTTAGCTCTCTAAGAAAAAATAGTCTTTTGTTCACTTTTTTATGCAGGAGAGAAATGTGGACACGCCAGTTGAGTTTGTTGTCTATTGTAACACCCAAATACTTAGTCTGACACTTGCTCGATGTTTTCACATTTCATTTTGAGTGGCTGCAGGGGCAGTTTCTTTATTCTAAAATCAACGACAAGTTTTTTTGTTTTTTTCACATTTAAAAGCAGCTTATGATTCTCACACCATTCAGAAAAATTAAGTACAAAATTCCGGTAAGCGGTTTCGTTATGGTCAGCCTGAATTAGCCCAATTATAGTTGAATCATCTGCAAATTTTATCAACTTGATGTTACTGTTGTTTATTTGGCAATCGTTCGTGTATAGTGTGAATAAAACTGGTGACAAAACACATCCTTGAGGGGCCCCTGTATTTGTTGTGATGTATGTCGATGAAGAATGTTTTAATTTTACATACTGGGTTCGGTTGGTAAGAAAATTGCCTATCCATGATATTAAATTGACGTTAACACCTATGTTTTCTAATTTCTTTAAAAGGATAGCTGGCTGGATAGTATTAAAGGCTGACGAAAAATCAACAAACAGGATCCTGCAGTATGTTTAAGGCTTGTCTAAGTGTCTATATATGTTGTCAAGAAATAGTAAAATGGCGTCTTCCACACTTCTCCCGTGACGATATGCAAATTGTAGAGGGTCCTGGGTGGGTTCTATGTACGTTCGTAGTCTTTTTAGCACAATTTTTTCTAGACATTTTATAACTACCGATGTTAAGGCTATTGGCCTCAGGTAATTCATTTCAGTAATTCAATAGATCTAGATCTAGCTGTATGTTGTGCATCGCGTTTGTTGCCCTTTTTTTTTCCATAATGGTACAGTGGAATCCTGTTATAACGAGAGGGAGGGGACCGAAGCAAAATGTCCGTTATAGCAGGATTCTCGCTATATAAGGGGATCCAGTAATAAATTCAATAGAAACTGTAAAGTAGGACTAATCTATGAGTTTGGTGTCCTGTGTTTCCTTTTGCTATCTCCCCTGATGATGATTTTGTTTTAACATGACCTCTAGGTCTTACTTGATCAAAAATCGAATCAGGTTAGTTTCTCTAGCGCTAGATGTAGCGATGTGGACTGACAGCTCGGCGTCGGCGATCAGAAAGAAAGGGCTCTGGGCTAACTCGCTCGCTGTGTTTTCCCTCCCACCCCACCCCACCCTGTGGTGCGTTCTGTCTGCTTGCGCACGTCACACATTCGCTCCATCCATCACATTGCTGTGACCTCTCCATCCCCGCATCAGAGAAGTGAGAGGCATGGTAGGCCTTGATAGTCTAAATTGGCCTATCACGCGATGCGTTCTGCTTGTTTGCATGCCACATCCTCCCTACTCAGTTGCTCCGGCCTTCATTGTTGACTCACATGGGCTCTCCTATTCTTTGTTTCGCAAGATCAGCAACAAGTTTCTCAACTGGCGAGGTCTTGCATTTATGTATAATTGGCCTATGCCATGTGCACAGCAGCAGCAATATTCCGCTATAACCGACTCGCAAGTGTGTCTGATAGCGCTAAAGCAGTATTTTATTTACAAAGGTAAAGAGGAGAAAAAAACGGGGTTTTAGAATTGTGCCTTTATAACAGACTTCTCGTTTTTTCCGGACTCGTTATAAGTGGACTCCACTGTACCACTATGTCTTTCTGCCTGTCTTCTGGGCATTTTCTTTGCTCCCAGGCTCTGTTGAAAATTCGCCTCAGCCACAGTATACCAGTGTTTCCACAAGCTCTTCTTGTGGCTTCCGCTGTGATGTCATCTGGTCCTGGGGCTTTGTTCTTGGGGCTGGTTTTGAGTGCCTTTTCTATTTCATTGGGAAGTATGGGTGGTTCTGTTTGCTCTCCATATATATGACGGTTGGAACTCTTCTTGTTGTCTGGGTTGAGTAGTTCAGGAAGTAATTTTTCTTAATGGTATGTTTGCCGGGATACAAAAATCAAAATACAGAGTGAAGCTATCTAGCTTAACATTATTTTACTGTTTATACACTTACTTTACTTTTACTTTTTCATCCTCTGTTGCTGTTAAGCGTCGAGGGGAGATGCAGTTTTCTATGGTAGGCCAGCTCTGCAGCTCTTTCTGTTGTGATGTAAATGTTTTCTTAGGGTTTCCTTGACCCCCTTCGATCCACCTTTTGCGTAGTCTTCCTCTTCCTTTAGCCTGAGTGCTTGGTGTTGTAGGCTCTCGAGGCTGGTTGGTCAAGTGACATGCGTAACAGGTGGCCGAACCATTTTATCTTTTGTCTTTCTATGTAACGCAGGCAGGACTCAGTGCCGATAGCTGTTCTTACTTCTTCATTTCTCTGCCTGTCTCGTCTTGTGATGTTAATGGTTTTGCGGAGACATTTCATTTCGCATGCAGTGATTTTTGCTTTCATGTATTTTGCTTAAGGTCCAGGTCTGGCACTGATAACATAATGTTGGTATGATATTGAGATGATAAGCTGTCTCTTTGTGTCCATGGAGAAGTTTGGATGAGGTAGGAGGGGTGCGAGCTGGTAGATGACAGCGTTGGCTTTTTGAGTTTGCATTTTTATATTCTCTGTCTATGGATCTGTTTTCAGAAAAAGTGCTGCCAAGATATTTAAACTCCTTCACCTGTTTCAGTTGTTTACTATTGACATGGATGTTCAGGGGACTATGGTTTTGGCTCTCTGTCATAATTTCTGTTTTTGATGTGCTTATTTTCATGTTGAATTTCTCACACGTGTTGTTGAGTTCGGTAGTGTGATTTTGGAGGCTTTGTTAGTCATGATGAATAAGACATTGGTCATCTGCGAAAATTCATTTAGGCTTTCTCTGGGCTTTGGTTTGCGTCCTGCGTTATTGTGTCCATATATATATTGTAAACA